CACACACACACACGCACACGCACACGCACACGCACACGCACACACACACACACACACACACACACACACACTCTGTCTATAGAGCACCTCACACTTCACTAACACCAGAAACTACAGCCGACTGTGTCAAAGTAAACCTTCATCACACTAACATACGTGACCTCGGAGGAATAAGCCAGTCTTTCTCTCATGCCAGATATACACATAAGGAAGACATGTCACTAGTCAAAAGATGTTTAAGTGAATACCCCTCCATGTTCTCCCCATACTCACGGCGCAGAGCCAGAAATGTGGGGAAGACTTTGCAGTCGGTGACGCCGGTGGAGTCGGAGAGACAGTCCTTCCACAGGTTGGAGAAATAGTGCGCGGATGTGAGCACTGAAGTGTGCACCTCAGAGTACGCCCAGCATTCAGTGGGCACGGTGGAGCAGACCAGCAGCCAGCCGCACACACACACCACAAAACACACCATTTCAGTGTGCATCAGGAGCGTCCTGTAATGCATGCTGAGATGAAGAGCAGCTGAAGAGGAGAATACACACACACACATACACACACACTCCAGATCAGCAGCCTTCCCTGCTCTGTGTGTGTTTGTGGTGTCAACAACACACTCTCTCTCTCTCTCTGTTTGTTATACACACACAGGTTGAAAACAACCCCTATAGCACGCTTTCATGTAACAAACACCACCGGCAACACAAAATAATGTTCATCCGCCCCAGCTTACAGAGAGAGAGAGAGAGAGAGAGAGAGAGAGAGAGAGAGAGAGACCGCTTCAGTACTTTACCGTCTGCTGGATCAACATCAGTATGATGCAGACATTCAGACTCAAACTTTACCATTATCAACTTTTAAGAGGGACAGCACGGTGTCTCAGTGGTCAGCACTGTGGCCTCACAGCAAGGACTCTGGTTTGAGTTTCAGCTGGGTCAGTTGGTGTTTCTGTGTGGAGTTTGCATGTTCTCCCCGTGTTGGCGTGGGTTTCCTCCGGGTTCCTCCACAGTCCAAACACATGCGCTATGATCAACTGATCAACTACACTGGCTGTAGTGTATGAGTGTGAGTGTGTATGGGTGTTTCCCAGTA